AGCCATTTGTCTGAAACGGTGTAGGGTTTCCTGCCTAGGCAGGGGGTTGGACTAGAAGACCTCCAAGGTCCCTTCCAACTCTGCTATTCCAACTCTATACCATACCAGCTTTTGTGGATTACATTCCACCTGTTCATGAGATTATTACTTTGGGAAATTATGTGCCTACGCTGGAGTCAGGCGTGCATAAAATTGTGGGAGATACAGACAGTGATAGCTTTCCAACAATAACGGCACTTTACATAATTGTTGGGTGTCATGCAGATGTTTTTATATTGGATAATTGATTAGTCAATGTAATATTCTGGTGGTTAAAAAGATGTTAACTAGTTCCTCTATGATGAAATGGGATATAGGAACAGAGCACCAGCCAAGGAATAGAATAGAATAACAGAGTTGGAAGGGACCCAGGAGGTCTTCTAGTCCAACCCCCTGCCTAGGCAGGAAACCCTACACCGTTTCAGACAAATGGCTCTCCAACATCTTCTTAAAGACTTCCAGTGTTGGGGCATTCACAACTTCTGGAGGCAAGTTTTTCCACTGATTGATTGTTCTCACTGTCAGGAAATTCCTCCTCAGTTCTAAGTTGCTTCTCTCCTTGATTAGTTTCCACCCATTGCTTCTTCTTCTGCCCTCTGGTGCTTTGCAGAATAGCTTGACTCCCATATACTGTAGCTTTATACCTGTATTTATTTCTGGCTTGTTGACTGTTTTTCATCCTTAATTTTCTAAACTTTGCATCTATTATCTAACTCAGTGTTTCTCAACCTTGTCAACTTGAAGTCCACAGGACTTCAAGTTGACAAGGTTGAGAAACACTGATCTAACCAATTGTACCCTAAGTCCCATGTTAAATAATACGGTTTCTCCTTTGCCTTCAGTTTCCCTTAGCTTGACTTCCTCTTCTTTGGGGCAGCCCTTGAGATATCGGAGCACTGCTATCATACGCTATAAGAGCATTCGCTCACAACTGAGTCTGAGTATGTGGTTGGGGAGCGAATACTTTTGGCAATATAGTCTATCCCCACCCCCAGCCCTTCTTTTCATCAGATTAGACATACCCAGTTCCAGCAACCGTTTTTCATACGTTTTAAGAAGGGATTGTGCAGTCATTTGTCTGGGATGGAGTAAGGACTCCTGCCAGAGCAGGGGGTTGGACTAGAAGACCTCCAAGGCCCCTTCCAACTCTCCTGTTCCCAACCCCCTGGTCAGGGCCATCTCTGGCAGGGCAATCTCGGAGGCCGCTTGGCAGGAAGCTGCTCAGCCGTTTCCTTACCTTTCACCAGAGCCGAAAAAGTCGCAGAGTGGCGGGAGACAAAGAGCTTGAGCTGCTGGTCAAGGTTGCAGGCGGTCAGGTCGATATCCCAAGAACGGATCCCTGCCAGAGAGAGATCAGAGAGATCCCTAAGAATCCCTCTGCGGCACATAAAGCATCATTCCCCACCCGAGGCTCCAACCTGGGCACCAAGGGGTGTGTGTGTGTGTGTGTGTGTGGAGATTGTTGCCGCCCTAAGGCAGGCGCCCCCCCCCCCCCCCGGTCCCTCTGGCTGAGACTGTGCCCCCCTTCCCCACAAAGTTCACCCTGAAACGAGGGAGGGGGCCAGTGGGGCCTGGGTGGGCAGAGGGCTTCCCACCCCCACCCCATCCCCAATTCCAGGGAAGTGAGGTGAGCTGATCAGAGGAAGCCCAAAGGCCGGAGGCAGGCAGGATTCTAAGCCCAGCACATCAGAGCAAGGAGCAGGGCGTGTTTCTGGGCCACGACAACCCCCAGCCCCTTCTTCCCCCTCCAAGCTTTCCTGCTGGGTTCCCTCTCCCTGGGCCTTCTGGACACCCATTTCCTAACCAGCTGCCAGCCCAGCCGCTTCTCTCTCCCAAGTTCTGGACCCAAAGACCTCCGTGAACTCAGGGAGCCCCTGGGCCCTTCATGCCATGTAAAGACCAATGGTAGGCTGAATCCGCCCCCTACCCTCCGAGACCTCCAGGCCACCCCCAGGCATTTGCTCTGCCCTGAGGCAGGGGGGGGGCGGGGGGCTGCTCCCGTCCAGACCCACCTGGGTGCAACCCAGGCCCAGATACCACACGGCAAAGGCTCCAACTGAAGGCCACCAGAGCAGGTTCTCAGAGGCCCTTGGCTGCTCAGGCCGACCGAAGGCAGCCAGCTGCAAGATGCTAAATCGAGAGGAGGGTTGGGATTACCTGACTGGGAGCTACACCACCCGGCAGCCAGTCTGACGTGGATCAAGGAATGGGTAATGTTAAGAAATGGTAGGGATTTTCAATTTAGAGGGTCAGGACTTGCTGTTGGGATGGGATGCTTTCTTATGGTCTAAGGGAACCAAAGCACACTGTTATTTTAGGAGGCACCATATAAGAGAGGCTCTGTTATTAAACTGGGAGAAGGTTAAGAGGTTACACTATTTAAAAACTCCAGTCTGGATATCAACCATTGAAGCTTTTTCATATCCAATAATATACAAAAAGGAACAGTCAGATATGCTGAATTATTAAATACAGAGGGAGAACTCAAATCCATACAAGATTTGAAACAGGAAGGAATCGAAGTTAATTGGTATTCATATGTGCAAATACATTCTAGATACAATGAAGATCGAAAAATGGAGGGTTTTTATGATAAAATGACTGAGTTAGATAAAATCTTAACAGGTACTGATGAAAAAGTAATTTAAAAACTCTCTGGCTACCTATTAGAGGTGAAACTTCAGGAAGAACAAGTTAAAGAAACTATGTTAGC